ATTATTGCCTGGAGAATCCACATGGACAGAGGAGCCTAGAGGGCTATAGTCCATGGGGTGACAAAGAGTCGGACACGGCTAAGAGACTAAGCACAGCACAACCCTTGCATGGGCCCTCTGGCCTGTGGCTTAGGAATAATAAACATTGTAATACCTAATATTTACATAGTGCATACTATGTGTCAGGCAGTAAGCATTTCCACACGTGTAGTATTTCTTTTAATAAAAAGTAATAGCAATAAAACAATAAAAGTGAATACTAAAGATTAGCTGAGCATAGGTTGCTGTACTTTACACATAGTCTCTTTTCAACCCCACATGATCTGTGAAGGTGGAGGTTACTATCCCCACAGTACTGAGAAGGTGCTGAGGCTCAGAGATGAAAAGTGATTTCGCCCAATGCAACACTGTAAGTGGCAGATTTCAGCTCTGAATCCAAAGTGTAAGCCCTTAACCCCCTCGCCCTGGTGCTTGCTCTCAGACTGCTCTCTCTGCACCTGGCTCCCTGCCTTTAACTACCTCACCATACTGGCAGTCTCAATATTCAGAACCCTGACTTCTAGTCCTCCAATAAACTTTTTATTTTCGTCAACCATCCTCCACCAGCCATTTCCATACTCAGTTATTTACCAGTGGTCGCAAACCTTCCAAAATTCAATTTCATATATCCCAATCTTAAATCTTATCTTCTTTTTCCCAGCCCACTCTCTCTGGTACCCAGAACCCACCGATTCTTTGATACCACTATCACCCCTTCATACCCTCACTGCCCTCTTTATTTAAATTCTGTGGTTCAAATGGGTAATGAACTGTCTCTTTATTAAATGGTGCTGGAAAAAACCAGATATTCACATACAAAAGAAGGAAATCACACCCCTATTTTACACTACTCGCAAAAATTAACTCAAAATGGATTAAAGACTTAAATGTAAAACTTGATACTGCAAAACTCCTAGGAAGAAAACATAGGGAAAGAACTCCTTGATACTGGTCTCAGCAATGATTTTTTGGATACAATACCAAAAGCACAGGCAACAAAAGCAAAAAGAAGTAAGTGCTACTACATCAAAAGAAACAGCTTCTGCACAGCAAAGAAACTATTAAAATGAAAGGGCAACCTATGGAACAAAGGAAATATTTACAAAAGATAACTCTGATAAGGGGTTAATATTAAAAACATTTGAGGAACTGATAAAACTCAATAGCAAAAAAACCAATTTGTCCAATTAAAAATGGGCAAAGGAGTTGAATAAACATTTTTCAAAAGAAGACATACAGATGGTCAACAGAGACACGAAAAGGTGCTCAGTGTTACTCATCATCAGGGAAATGCAAATCAAAACCACTAGATATCACCTCACATCTGTTAGAATGGCTATTATTGGAAAAAACAAAAACAAAAAATAAAATAAGTATTGCTGACAAAGCAGAGGAAAGGAAACCCTTGTGCGCTGTTAGTGGGAGCGTAAATTAGTATAGCTGTTATGGAAAACAATATGGAAGTCCTCCAAAAAATTAAAAATAGAATTGCCATATGTCCCAGCAATCCCCATTTCTGGGTATATATGCAAAAAAAAAAAAAAGAAAAAGAAAGAAATCACTATCTTGAAGAGATATCTGTAGACCCATGTTTACTGTAGCATTATCCACAATAACCAAGACATGAAAACAACATAAGTCAATCAACAAATGAATGGATAAGGAAACTGTGACTTGTGTGTCTGTGTGTGTATATATATACACACGCACACATATTTCATATGGTATATATATATGTAATATTCTTATATATATATATATAGGAATATATTGGAATATTATATATTCTGAACATCTTATGGAGAAACCTGAACAAATTTTTTGGCCAAACCAATATATATTATGTATATGTATACGTGGGTGTGTGTGCTTAGTCATTCAGTCATGTCTAACTCTTTGTGACTCCATGGACTGTAGCCCATCAAGCTCCTCTGTCCATGGAATTTTCCAGGCAAGGACAATGGAGTGGTTGCCATTTCCTCCTCCAGGGGATCTTTCTGACTGAAGGATTGAACGTGTGTCTCTTGTGTCTCTTGAATTGGCAGGCAGATTCTTTACCACTGGGCCACCAGGGAAGCTCTGTATGTGTATATATTGGAATATTATTCAGCCATTAAAAAGAAGAATATCCTACCATTTCCAACAACATGGATAAACCTGAGGATATTATATTAAGTGAAATAAGTCAGACAGAGAAAGACAAATACTGTTATGGTCTCATTTACATGTAAAATCTAAAAATAACAAATGCATAGAAAGACAGTAGATTGTTGGCTGCCAGGGGTTCAGGGGTAGGGAAAATGGGGAAATGTTGGTCAAAGGGCACAGACTTTCACTTTTAAGATGAATAAGTTCTGAGGATCTAACAGCATGGGGACTATAGTTAATGATATTGTAAACTTGAAAGTTGCTAAGAGTAGATCTTAAAACGTTCTCACCTCTTACACAAAAAAGGTAACTGTGGGTAATGGCTATTACCCTACTATGGTAATCATCTTACAATATATATATATGTTAAATCATCATATTGTAATACCTTGAATTTACATGATGCTATATTCTAATTATACATCCACAAAGCTGGAAAAAAATTCTCTAGTCCACTGCTGTAATTATTCTCTTGCACACAAGCACAAGTCATTTGTTCCTCTCTCCCTTCATTGTATAAGTGTAGCAAAACCCACCTCCCACCTGATTTCAACTCTCTGTGCCTACTTCTTCCTGTGCCTCGCTTAAGACTGCCTGGCAATCCTACTTCCTTTCACTAATTAGTTCACTCTTCCATTCACTGAGATGACTAATTTATATCTTTTCCTCTCTCCTTAGGCTTCCAAAATCCCTTCCCCTTCTCCACTCTTAGCTAATGACCTTGCTTTCAATCTCCACTAAAAAGACAGAAGCAACAGGACCTGGCTTAATCTCAACACCAAACCAACCAACCCACATGCACTCTCCTCCAGTCCGCACCCCACTTCTCTGCTCTCTCTTACAGCAAAACTCCTGGAAGGGTCATCTATACTTGATGTCTCCACTTCCTTTTCTGCTCTGTGATTAGATTTTCAGCCCCAACAGTATCAAAACTATTCTATTCAGTTTCCAGTGACCTCCATATTGCCAACTGCAATGGTCAGAACAACCCAACCAAGCCGCTCCCAAATTCCTGACCCACAGAAACTGACAAAAACAAATGTTTGTTGAATTAAGTCACTAACTCCTGGGGTTATTTGTTACACAGTAGTGGAGATATATATATTCCCCCACCTCTCCCACCCATACACAAAAATCCTCTTCCTTCTCTAGTCATTAAATCATTCACTCGCTCAGACCAAAGCCTTGGACTCGACCTTGACTCCATATCCAATCCTATAGCAAATTCTATTGGTTTTACTGGTGTTCAACATTTGAATGAACAAATGATAAAGCTGACCAACAAAGAAATCTCTAAGGTGTGAAAAAAATCAGAGCTTTCAGGAACGTTTTGTTATGGAGGGAAACCGAACTAATGGAGGCACTGGGAGGGCACAGAGAAAAGAAAGGAAGCTAAAAGTGAACAACACTTTGACCTAGGCATTATACAGGTATTACTTCATTTGATCCTGCAATTCCACGTGGTAGGTACAACTGTTTATCACGATTTAATAGCCGAGGGCATTAACAGCAAAAGACAAAGCTACATCTGAACTCAGGCAATCTAATTCAAGAACAAAGACTTAAACTTAAGCCATCCTGCATTCCGAGAGGGAAGAGCATTATGGGCTGAAGCCAGTCTGTGGGACAGGGAAGTAGACAGCCAGAGAAGCCTGAGTCCACCTAGAGGAGTTCTGCCAAGGCACATAGGACTCATCCTCTGACTTCTGTTACTCAACCACAATAGGCAGGGATTCGGAACCTCAGAATGACAGCCACGTAGAGTACTTTCTTCAATACACAGAGACTAGAAAGCCAGGATTTCACTCCACCCTGACTCTTAATAGCTGGGGGACCCTTGGCAAGCCACTTGACTTCTCTGGGTCCTAGTTGTTTCATGTGTCACTGAGTCAGTCACAGCGCACTTGTCAGAAGGTAGGGCTTGGGCATGTCCACCTCTGGGATTTGAGATCTGGCCTCTTCCCCTCAAGTTACCATGACGCTCTGCCTCTGAGCTCACGGGAAAGCCATCCTTATCAAGCCGTTTTTTGAACAGGTTGTGTTCCACATCCAGCTGCTGCTCCCCAGCTACATCCATGGCATCGATGCTCAGATCTGGAAGCAGGAGGTCAGGGTAAAGGGCTGTGTCCTAAGGGCAAGGGTTTTGGAGAGTAAGGGGACACTGAGCTTGTTTTGGGGCGGCAGTGGACTAGGGGAAGGAGGCTCTCCTGGAGTCCAGTCCAGAACCTAAGGCTGGAGCTGTGAACGTGGAAGCCTATCTGAGAACCCTGGGGCTTGCCATTCCCACCCATGGTGAGGTACTCACAGGCACAAGGCATGTGCGGAAAGAGCACATTGATGTTGATCTTCAGTTTATCCCCCCGTGACTTGTCCACGTAGAGCTCAGGATGCACCTGGGGCAGGACTACCTTCGTAAGATTTCACCTCAAGCCTCTCTTGCCCCATTCCATAAACTCCTACCACTAAAATGCCAAGCCCCGCCCACATGCTAGGCCCCGCCCCTTACCTCTGTGGTGAGGTAATACTGCAGCTCCGACAGGAACAATAGTAGCATAAGAAGGCCACTGACAATGGTCACTGCAGGGCAGGGAGCGAGGGTCAGAATGGCCTCTGTCCAGAGGGACATGAGGAAACCCTCTGCCCCCGGAAGGCCGGACAGGTTCCAGGCGCCCCGGCCAATCTCCAGGACACCCCACTCCCCGCGACCCCGACCCCGCCACGCCCTACCCGTGGCGCCCCCGCAGGTCTTGACCCGGAAGTCCTCCAGAGTCTTGGGATAGGCATCGAACTGCTTCAGCTTCCCCAGCGCCTCCATGGGGACCAGCCGGAAAGGGGACGCCAGCGGGCCCGCCCCGGCAGCCTCCCGCTTCCGGCCTGGAGCTTGGGCCACGCCCCCTCTTTCCGCACGCAGGCGCAGCAATGCCCACGCTTGGCCCCACCCCTTGCCCGCGTTCTCACTCAGGCCGTCCCGCCCACCTGTGCTGACACTGCCTTTGGCCGCTGGAACGGGCTCCCGCGGGGTGGTTGAGAGGGTGAAGAAGTAAGGGGTTATGTTTTCTGTGGAGCAGAGTGCCTGGAAGAGGACTCCACCGGATAGACACAGTAATAGCAGCCTTGTGCCCGGAGCTGCACCTCGAGTTTCACGTCAGACTCTTGGAACGTCCTAGAACAGTGGTTTTCACAGTGTCCTCAGTGGGCAGCCTCGTTATCATCTGAAATTGGTTAGGAATGTAAACTATTGTGCCCTGCTGATCAGAAACTCTAGGAATGGCTCCCAGGGGATTTCCTGCAATTACAGCTTGAGAATTACCTCTGGAAAGTCGGTGTGACTTTTATATCCATTTTTCTCAAGGATAAACTGTGGCAGTGGAAAAGCTAAGTAACTTGCCCTGTTTGTGTGTGTGTGTGTGTGTTATTTGTCCGGTAGTGTCTCTTTGCTATCCCATAGACTATAGCCCTCCAGGCTCCTCTGTTCTTGGGATTCTCCAGGCAAAAATACTACAGTGGGTTGCCATTCCCTTCTCCAGGGGATCTTCCAAACCCAGGGATCGAACTCAGGTCTCCTGCATTGCAGGCAGATTCTTTACTATCTGAGCCACCAGGGAAACCCAACTTGGCCTAGATGGTAGGAATTAATGGCAGAGCCTGATTCCAACCCATTTCTTCTGGACCTCAAAGTACTCTGGGAGCTAGAGCCTTTGGGGTTGATTCTACCCAAACAGCCTCTCAGTGCTTTTCCTCAGCATGGCTGGTGGAGGTGCCTGGCTCAAATCATTTCAGTAGCATTGGACCAGAGCTTCTGGGCTTCCCACGTGGCCCTAGTGGTAAAGAACCCATTTGCCACTGCAGAAGGTGCAGATTCAGTCCCTGGGTTGGGAAGATTCCCTGGAGTAGGATATGGCAACCCTCTCCAATATTCTTACCTGAAAAATTCCATGGACCGAGGAGCCTGGTGGGCTACAATCCATGGACTTGCAAAAAGTCAGACACAACTGAGCTACTAACACACACACACACAGACCAGAACTTTGTAAAGAGGCGTTTAGGGAACTGTGGAGAGTCCATAGAAGAAAACTACTGACACATTGGGTCAGGGAAGGCTTCCAGGAGAAAGAGAAGGGACACAAGCTGGGTGCATTGTGGCAGTCCAACTCAGAAGAAGCTGAGTCCCCCTTTCTGTCTGCAGGCTACAGCCTGCTAGGAAGGGAAGAAGGAAAGGGCTAATGCATATTAATTGAAAACTGACAACATGCCAATTACTGTTATCCATTCTACATCAGCCTGGAGAAGGGAATGGCAACCCACTCCAGTATTCTTGCCTGGAGAATCCCATGGACAGAGGAGCCTGATGAGCTACACAGTCCATGGGGTCGCAAAGAGACGTGATTGAGCAACTAAGCATATTCTACATCAGAAAAGCCCTGACAAGTCGGCGCTATTTCAAACCCCATTTTGTAGCTGAAGAAGCCAAGAGTTAGACTAACTTTGCCCAAGTTTGCAGGGGGAGTTAACAGGGCAAAGCTGGGGTTCAAGGCATGATTTTTCTGACTCCAGAGCCTGGGTCTTTCCCACACATTAGCTGCCACCACCAAATGCAGGAGAAGTCTGTTTCTCAGTTGGATGCCCACCAACAATGTCAACAGAAATTATCCTCTCCTCTCTGCTATATGTCCATTCTATGCCCATTCATGTTTGACTTCCAAGCCCTCCTTCCTCAGTGGGGTTCCCCGGTAAAACACACTTCACTCCTTCAACATGTATTTCTCAAGCTTTTCTTGTCTCCCCTGTTATAGAATACCATGGTTGAGTAACAAAGATGTGGTTCATACTTACTCTTGAGGAGCTTTCAGCGGGGAATAGGGAGAGGTAAACAACAACAAAATGTATGTATGTTATATAAAACACTGAACTGTGCTCTGAAAATCGTTACAGTGGTAAATTTTATGTTATGTGTATTTTACCATAATAACAATTTTTTGAAAAAATAATTAAAATAATTTTTCAAATTAAGTTGAAAAATTAAATTAATTTTTCAATTTAAGTTGAAAAAATTAATTAAAATAAAGGAGAATGTGCCTTGCACTGTGAAGGAAAAATCAGGAAACTGTAATAGGGACAGCAAAGTGGAAAGACTTTCTTTTTTAGGAATTCTAGAAGTAGGTAGTCCTTTCCCTTCATAGAGTTCTTCTAGGTGACCATGGCACAGAAGTCAGGAGACCAAGACACTGACCAGTTGGAAACTTTGCTCTTCACAATGTCAGGCTTCCCCCTAATGCTTCCAGTCCTCCCCATCGAGGTGAGGTCCTTTGGCCATGGGAGCAGTTGGATCCTGTACAGGAGTGCCTCACTCTGCACACTGGATTGCAGGAAGAGGGGGTCACTGGTCACATGTAGATGCAGCCTAAGCCTGACCAGAGACGGGGAAGGGTTCAGGCCCTTTCATTGGTTCATTCTGCCCAGTCACAGCCTTCTTTCACCTTACATGAGACACTGATAAGTGAACTTTTCCTTAAATCATCAAAGAAATAAGTATATTTGAGGGTTTCCCTGGTAGTTCAGCGGTGAAGAAACTGCCTGCAGATGCAAGAGACATGGGTTCGATCCCTGGGCTGGGAAGATCCCACATGCTGCAGAGTACCTAAGCCCATGCATCACAACTACTGAGCCTGTGCTCTAGAGCCCAGGAACCACAACTAATGAGCCCACGTGCCACAACTACTGAAGCCCACGTACTCTGGAGCTCATGCTCCACAATGGAAGACACAGCAATGAGAAGCCTGTGCACCACAGCTAGAGAATAGCCCCTCTCGCCACAGTTAGAGAAAACTTGAGCAGCAGCAAAGACCCAGCACAGCAAAAACTGAATAAATATTAATAAAATTATTTTTAAAAGAACTAAGTATATTTGAGACTTTCCTGATGGTCCACTGGCTAAGACTCTGGGCTCCCAATTCACGGGGCCTGGGTTCAATCCCTGGTCAGAGGAAGTTCAACGAAGTGCAACAAGGTTCAAAGATCCCATGTGCTACAACTAAGACCAGGCACATCCAAATAAATGAATAGATAAATTTTTTTTTAAAGCAATGAAACTGTATAAAATTGTCAGAACAATCACCTTAGGACTCTGGAAATTGACCAAAGGGATACACCAAATGGAGATGCATTTATTCTAGAGAAACTATCAAACCTCAGTAAAATCAATGAGTTTCATGGTGCATTTTAGACAGCAGCTGTTCCCACCTCCCCCACTCCAGCTTTGTGGTGGCAGTCCTGCAAGAGTGGGGATGCCTGTGAGCACTAGGAGCTTTGCTCTTGGAAGTCACTGATTTGATTTGGAGCAGAGTTTGGAAAATTCTTGCCCATGGATGTTGTTGAAAATAATAGCAATCTAGCGGCAAACAATCAAGGAAAATCAACAGTGCAGCAATCCTGAGGTCATGATACTGGTTGGGACAAGCAACAGACCGGTAAGCCAGCCAGAAATTTAACAGATCTGGAAAGAAGATAGTTACTGTGGGTCTTAATAAGGTTTCACACTTCCCTGGTGGTCTGGAAGGCTGCCTACTTGTACAAGCCTATACACATGCTCAGGAGAGACTGGAGAGGGTTCTAGGTATCCTGTCATCCTTGGCTGAATATGAGGTCCGGAGCATGCAGAAAGTTAAAGGGGATGAATTTGTAAACTGCCTGAATTGTCATTGTGTTCTCCAAACCACATGGAGATCCATTGGTAAAGGGCAGAAGCTTTATTAGCTCAAGATGTTTAAGTATAACTTACAACAAATCAGTGACTGGACCATTAAACTACATTGAACCATGGTTACCCCTAGCCCTTCATGATCCTGGGTTAGGCAAATCCATAATACAAAGTCATGATCCATAAAATAAATTGGACTCCACCATGACTAAAGTTTTTGCATTTCAAAAGACACTAAGGGAAAAGTTTGCAAACCAGGTATGATAATGGACTTATATCCAGAATACATAAGGAACTCTTAAAAATATTAAGATGACAGCTTAATTTAAAAATGGGTGGAAGATTTGAATAGATATTCTCTAAAGAAGACATATGAATGGCTATCTAATAAGTGCATGAAAAGATGCTATGCGTCATTAGGAAAATGCAAACTAAGACCATAATGAGATACCATCTCCTGCTCACTAGAATAGCCATAATCAAAAAGACAGACAAAACCAAATGTCATTGAGAATGTGGAAAAATTACAACCTTCATACATTGCTGGTGATAAGTGTAAAATGGTGCTGCCACTTTGGAAAATACTTTGAAAGATTTTTCTTAAATATACAATTCCTAGCTGTCTACCCAAGAGAAATGAAAATGTATGTTCCTGCAAAAACTTGTAAACAAATGTTCATAGGAGCATTATTGATAATAGCCAAAAAGTGGAAACAATTCAGATGTCCATCAGCTGGTGAGTGGATAAACACAATGTGATCGATCCACACAGTGGAATACTACTCAACAGCAGGAGTTAACTCCTGGTGCATGATACAATATACATTTTAAAAAATATTATGCTGAGGAAAAGAAATCAGATATGAGAAACTGCATATTGTATGATTCCATTTATAAACAAGGCAAATCTTTAGAGAAAGTGGGTTAGTGGTTACCTGGAATGAGGAGTGGCATTGACTGCAGATGCAAATGGGGATCTCTGATGGAAATGTCCTAAAACTGGGCTGTGGTGATGCTTATACAGCTGTATACATTTATTGAATCATACGCTTAAAATGTGTGAATTTTATGGCATGTGAATTGTGCTTTGATAAAATTGCTAAAATGCAAAACGAAAGCTAATGTTTCAGGATGTTTTTAAAAGGTTATATTTTGCTAAGGCTGGATAAGAAGGGAATGGGGAATGACTGCTTAATAGGTATGGGGTTTCCATTTGGGATGATGAGTATGTTCTGGAGTTAGGTAGTGGTGATGGCTGCATTATGGTGTGAATGTCCTAAATGTCATTGATTTATTGTACACTTTAAAATGGTTTAAATGGTAAGTTTTTGAGTGTTGTACAACAAAAATATTATGTTAGTTCATGTAAGTAACTATGTAACTATGTAAGTTCATGTAACTTACTATGCATCTTTTTCTAGATGATTTTTTAAAACCTTTTTATTTAAAAAATATAAATTTAATTAAAATTAATTAAATTAAAATTAAATTTAAAGTTTAATTAAAATTGAAATTGAAAAATTACAAAAATAGTAAAAAGAGATCCCATGTACCCATCACCCAGTTTCTCTTGATGGTATCATCTTACACTATACAAACCAGGGAATTGACATTGACACAATTAGTCTGCAGTCAGTTCAGTCACTCAGTTGTGTCCAACTCTTTGTGACCCCAGGGGCTGTACCACTTCAGGCTTCCCTGTCTATCACCAAACCCCAGAGCTTGCTCAAACTCATATCCATCAAGTTGGTGATGCCATCCAACCATCTCATCCTCTGTCATCCCCTTCTCCTCCTGCCTTCAATCTTCCCCAGCATCAGGGTCTTTTCTAATGAGTCAGTTCTTTGCATCAGGTGGCCAAAGTATTGGAGTTTCAGCTTCAGCATCAGTCCTTCCAATGAATATTCAGGACTGATTTCCTTTAGGATTGACTGGTTCAATCTTCTTGCAGTCCAAGCGACTCTCAAGAGTCTTCTCCAACACTGCAGTTCAAAAGCATCAATTACTCTACAGACCTTACTCAAATTTTTTGGTGAATTTTTTTTTTTTTTGGTTGCAGTACTCGGCATATAGGATGTAGTTCTCCGACCAAGTTTCGAACCCATAGACCCTGCAGTGGAATCTTGGCGTCTGAACCACTGGACTGCCAGCAAAATCCCCTGGTGAATTTTTTAAAGCTATAAAATACCCACTGCAGATTTTCACTAGTTATGACAACTGTTTTCCTGTTCTCACCCCATGGAAGAAAACATTTTGATTTTTTTAAAAAATAAAATGATTTCTGACCCCACCCCCTCTATTAAAAACCTTAAAAACAACTCTGTTTTTCATTTTGTTGTTTAACATCTTCCACAGGCCAGGGCTGAATTAAGGGAGTGGCACTGGAAGTGAGGAAAGTGGTTTGGAGACAGAAACAAAAGGATTAAAAGTGGATTTGGAAATCAGGGGAGAGGGAGGAGTCAAGGATAACATATGGGTTGCTGGCTTCAGCAAGAGGTAAAAAGAGGAACACCTGCTGAGATACAGAAGTCTTGGGAAGGGTTTGGTTTAAAAGGAGCAACATGAGTTCGGTCTCAGGCTTGTCTGGGGTGACGGGTCTCTGAGACAACTACGTCAAGGTACGACAGACTGCCGGGTTTGGGGGTCGAGAGAACAGAAGCGAAGTCTGAGCCGAAGTTATGCAATTGGAGAGGGGCCGTCACCCATAAATAGTACTTTAGGTCCCCTGTCCACTCTGTTCCTGTATCCCATAAATATTTCTTAAATGATTAAGTCTTAGGGATTCAGAGGTAAAAAAGGTAATCACGGGACTTCCCTGACAGTCCAGTGGTTGAGGATCCACCTGCTAGCGCAGGGGATGTGGATTTGATCCCTGGCTGGGAAATTGAGATCTCACACGCCATGGGAGCAATAAGCCCGCTTGCCGCAACTACCGAACCTGTGTGCTCTGGAGCCCATGTGCCACAGCTAGAGAGAAGCCCACACACCATAATAAAGGATCCCGTGTGACAAGGTAAGACCCGAGGCAGCCGAAAACTATATATATATATATATATATATATATATATATATATTAATGTAAAGGTCAGTCCCTGTGTATGTGGACCTTGCACTCAGGGCAGGCAGCTTGAGTGTGACAGACAGGATAGGTTGGTGGCTTTGAGCCTAAAGGAGGGAGGTCACAATATGTACTTTGTGATGAGATCTGTAATATACCCCTTGGCAGGGAGGACCCCACTGAGAGCTCAACCTCCCTTCTGTGGGAAGGATAGGGGACACACCATATGTTACCTCTCTGCCCTCACATCTTCCATCCCAGGCCCAGTTGGAGGGCCCTTTGGGGGTAAGCGAATGGACAGAGAAGTGGGAGATGAGGGCTTGGGAGGAGGTGTGGTGTGGAGGTCTGGGGAGCCACAGAGGCCCACAGGACAGAGAGTTGAGGGGCTGTCTATGACCTCAGTTTCTCATCCCTCCCAGTCCCAGGTAGAGGAACCAGTTGGCCGCCTGCCACTGGAGCCATCACCTGGGCCAGACATGAGGTGCTGGTGGCAGATTTTTGTCTTGTGCATCTTCTGGATACTCCTCTTATGGCTGATGGACCCCTGCCTGGATCTGAAGACTGACTCAACACCCCAGGAAAAATGGATGGACATGGCACCACAGCATTGCAGCTGCCCTTGTTTCAAATTCAGGCAATGTGGCTGCCTGTCCGGGAGTCTCAATCACTCAGTCTGCCACCACACGGCTGGAGAGCGCTGGTTTGATGCAGTCTATGAGAAGATGAGGGGGTCCCTGATGGGAGCAGCAGAGTCCATGTGCCCTGGTGCTGTGCTCTGGTGGTCGGTCAGTGGTCAACACTGGGGCGTCCCATCCCGTCCTCCCCCGGGCCCAGGTCACCTCCCACTTTCTGTCCCAAATCCCTGCCCTCGGCCCTGACTTAGAGTGCCTCCCATCTTCACAGTTTCAACTCCCGATCTCCCGATGGAGGTCCCACCCACTCAGGTCTGCTTCCCTTCCTCCAGGAGCCAATATCTGGGTCTTGGCCCCCCATCATCTCCCTCCTGCTGTTTTCAGGACCTGAACACAGCAAGTGAGCTGGGCAGAGTGTGGAAGAAGCTGCTCAAGGTGATTCCCCCACCTTCAATGAGCCATTTTGATTTCTTCTGTGGGACTTGTGCCCTGATGGGGAATTCAAAGATCCTGCGGACTGCCAGTCTCAGCAACAACGTCAACCAACCCAGCATGGTCTCCAGGTGGGCCTCGAGGAGAGGGCAGGGGAGTGGATGGCCAGACCTGCCCCCAGAGTTCTTTCAGTTTCTACTCTCTTTCTCAGGATGAACCAGGTCCCTGTTCAGGGCATTGAGCTGCTGGGGAACCAAACCACGAGATGCTCCGTCTCCCACAGGAATGCCAGGGGCCAGGGTTCTTGGAGGCAGGTGCTGCTGCTGCTCCTGCAGCTCTTTGATCTCGCATGGACTTCAGATGCTCTGAGTGAGGAGATAGTGGTCTGGGAACCCAGACATTCTTAGTGTGGCAGGTAAGGGGAGGGTACTGCAGCGGATGACAGAGGGGCCTCCAAGGAGACGCTCTACTGACTTACTGGGCACACCTGCCAGACCGTTCCAGGTCTCAGGGGCTGCTGAAACCCCTCCACTTCCTAATTCTTCCTTAGATTTCTGAAGGCGGTCCAGTTCCCTAGTAGAATGGAAGATAGAAAAGACCAGGTAAGGGTTCGACGGGCGGGAAGATGTGGTTGTGGGCTGCTGTGGGCTGGGACCCAGATTGCCGCCACCTCTTCCTCTCCAAGTCCTGGTGATCAGCCCCACCTTCCTCAAGTACAACTGGGGCAACAGGCTGAGTTAGAGGGTCACTCTCCATCTTGGGGCTCATGGCTCTGTTCTGTACCTTGCATACCTGTGATTCAGTTAAAGAGTCTTGTCCTTTCTTCACTTAAAACTTTTCCTTGCTGGTGGTCCAGTGCTTAAGACTCCACACTTTCAATGCAGGGGATGCAGGTTTGATCCCTAATTGGGGAACTAAGATCCTACATGCTTTGTGGTGTGGCCAAAAAATTAAAAAAAACAAAACAAAACTTTTCCCAGCTATGCCTTCAGCACAGAGTCTAAAAGTTTCTGCCTAGCTTCCAAGACCCTGTGTGGTCTGACCCCATCGCCTTTTCACACGCTGCTCCCTCTGCCTGGAATGCCCTCCTCTTGTCTCCCCAAAGAACCTTCTCTTCCCCCAGTACAAAGAGAATCGTATGATGCTCTTTTCTGGGGTCTGGGGTCTAGCATCACACCGTGTGCTCAGACTCTGTCTCCCCTGGGGAAGGTGAGCTCTGTTCTAGCTTCAGGAGGCAGCTGGTCACCCTTGATGCTGAATGAAGGGTGGTGGAATGAAGACAGGATTCAGCCTGCTGATGCATACATCCCTCTCTCATCCACTAGGATTCCCGCTTTGGATCTGGATCAGAAAAGCAAAGGAGGTGGTCCCCTTACTGGGAGGATGTTCATCAGACCAACAGAGATTCTGTCCATGCTCAGTAAGAAGCAGAAATGGAGGTCAGCTAGAGTGGACAAGCTCGCCGTTCACACAAGTCCACACAAGTCCTTGTCCTTTGGGCCTGAATGCAGGGGAGTCTTGGAGTTGCAGCAGGACTCTGGGGATGTTCAGGGATAAAGGTCAAGAGGAAATTGTATAGTGATCAGTCTGGTACTGAATAAAATCCTGGCCTGACTCTCCTACCTTCGAGGACAGTGTTGGGGAGGAAGGGCCTGACTTGACTTTCATAGCTCAGGGACAATATTTGCATTAATTTCTATGCCTGGTCCCCTGGATCATGCAGGTGATGTAAATTTAGAGCCAGCTCCACGCCAAGTGCAGGCCCAGACTGAGTCTCCAGAGAAGTTCATTTCCCATTGGACAAAAGAGATAAGCTTGCTTATATCACCCTATGCTGGTGGGTGAATTTTTGGGGGGCCCAGCTTTTCACCAAAGATTCAGCTCCTTGAGGTTCCCAGTGTTTTGTGGGGGCCTCCGTTCTGATTCTCTGCCTCCCCTAGGATCAAGGTCCTCTGCCTCATGGGCATTAAACTTCTAAGTTTCTGGGTAACCCCTTAAGCATCTTAAGCACTCCCCATACTGTTTTTTCAGTTCTCTTTTCATTTCTGGCATCTAGGGACTTCCTGTTTTCTTTTAACCTCTGGTCTGCATTTAAAATACTTTTTATTAAACAATGTAGATGTATATGCTTGCAAAATTACCAATTAACTCAGGAAAGATAAATGACATTTGAGTGGTAATTGCCTCTGGGGAAGAGACTGGGTAGGAGGGGAGCAAGAAAGGGACAGAATCCTTCTTTTTACTTACTTTTTATACCTTTTGGACTATGTACCACAGACCCATATTATATATTCAATAATAAATATAATTTTAAAAAGTTAAAACTATGTTTTGACCAGCAGACTGCATTTTTATTGTAGGAAAGTTTTTAGGTTATCTTCTTCTTCATTAATTTGCTAGATCTGGAGTCAAAACTAAGTCTTTGTAGCTCTTCTGCGGTTCCATGAACTTGGTTAGTATGTGATAAGGTCAATGAGTTCCATGGGCAATGGCTCAGTGCCTCATTCCTATGGAAAATAACCTGGCAGTTCATCAGAAAGTTAAACATAGAATTACCATGTGAGCCAGCAATTCCACTCTTAGGTAGGTTCCCAAAAGAAATGAAAACATGTCCACACAGAAACTCGAACCCAAATGTCTATAGCAGTATTATTCATGATAGCCAAAATGTGGAAACATGCATGCATGTTAAGTTGCTTCAGTTGTGTCCAGCTCTTTGTGACCCTATGAACTGTAGCCTGCCAGGCTCCTCTGCCCATGGGATTCTCTAGGCGAGAATACTGAAGTGGGTTGCTATGCCATCCTCCAGGGAATCTTCCCAACCCAGGGATCAAACCCACGTCTCTTACATCTCCTGAACTGGCAAGCAGGTTCTCTACCACTAGCGCCACCTGAGAAGCCCAGGTTACAGTCCATGGGGTCGCTAAAGAGTCAGACACGACTTAGCGACTAAGCAACAACAACCGGTAGCTTACAACAACAGAAATTTATTCTCTTACAGTTCTGGAGGCTAGAAGTCCAAATTTCAGGTTGATTTCCTTTGGGGGATCTGAGAAAGACTCTGTCCCATGCCTCTCTCCTAGCTTCTGGCGGTTGTTAGCAATTCTTACCATTTTGGTCTTATAGACAGACACAGCAATCTACTCTCTGCCTCCATCTTCACATGGCACTCTCCCCCTGTGTCCTCTCTTCCTACATTTTCCTTTTTTTAAAAAATAAGGACACCAGTCATTGGATTAGGGCCCTTCCTAGTCCAGTATGAACTCACCTTAACCTGCAAAGACCCTACTTCCAAACAAGCTCACATTCACTGGTACCACAGGTCCAGACTTGAAGCTAGTTTTTTTAGAAGGGGACACAATGCTACTCACAATAGGCAGAATAATGACTTTTCTAGACATACAAAAATTTAGAAATTTCATTTTTTACATAGCTTTTTTTCCTAGAGAATTTTAATGAATGATAAGAGGAAAGTAGTCCTAGTTTACTACTAGATTATATAGGAAACAATGTTTACCTAGTTGCAATATTATAAACACTGATAACAGACATTCTACTTTCAGAATCAGCCTATAATCCTCTGCCATTCAGTATGGTGGAAGAGCAAGTGAAACGTATCTAGTGTGAGAAATTGAAATTTTAATTTAATTAATTATTTTTGGAGGCTGTGGCACACAGCATGTGAGATCTTAGTTCCCTGACCAGGGATCGAACCCATGCCCCCTGCAGTGGAAGCATGAGGCCTTAACTGCTGGACCACCAGGGAATTTCTAAGTTAGAGACTTTCAAAAAAAAAAAAAAAAGAGACGTTCCCTGACCTTCCAGTGATTAAGAATCCATGCTTCCACCACAGGAGCTATGAGTTTGATTCCCTGGTTGGGGAACAAAGATCCCAAATGTGGCATGAAAAACATACAACAAAAAATTAATTTTAAACAACCTAAAATTTAAGATGAATGCAATTCAGTTTTTGGAACACTTCTAAGTATGTATACTTGTTATAACTGGACTATGTAGATCTACTTTTCAGGTTGTAAAATTTTTAAAAATCTATAGATCATGTATTTTTGATGAAAACTGAGTGTTCAAATTTAGATATACTGTGAGTACTGTGAGTGTAAAATACAATTCTTATTTAGAAGACTTAGTATCAATAAAGAATGCAAAATTTTAATATTTTATATTGAGAATATGTTGAAATGATAATATACAGACATATTGTATTAAATATATTATTCAAATTTATTTCCTCCACTTCATTTTATTTTTTATTAAACTACAGCCACTAGAAAATTATACACATGGCTTGGCATATTTCTTTTGGATGGCATTGCTATAAACAAAGCATGTGAAAAGTAATGATACAACAGATTGCTTACACAACAGAATCTGAACGTTATCCTTGATGATGTAAACTTTCACATGCCAATGTTGGGAAGTACAAAAAGAAAAAAATTGGCAAATAGAAGTATACAGACACGGGGCTTCCCTGGTAGTCCAGTGACTAAGACTTTACGCTCCCAATGCAGGAAGCCTGGGTTCAATCCTTGGTCAGGGAACTGGATCCCACATACTGCAACTAAGACCTGGTACAGGACAATAAATAAATAAGTACTTAAAAAAGAGAAGTGTACAAACACAATATTCTCATCTCAGAGAACAAGGCTTTAAGAAATCTTGTCTTAAAAAAAAAAAGAAATCTTGTCTTGAAGTGACAGAATGAGAAATAGAGATGAGAGTCCAATGTGCAAAGTCACAAAGTGAGCAGGTATTTATTATTAAACATAATGATATGATTATATACAGTGGGTAGTCTGCATGTAATATCATGATATGGTGGTGTAAGCATATCATTTAGAGACATGGAAGCAAATGCCTGAAGAATAGTTAGGAGTCCTCTGAGGAGGGGCCACAGGGTAAGGAGTCAGGGAGGCTGGGAAGCTGCTGCTCCACATTAAAAGTCTTTCTGAATTCTGCGATTTTTTGGGGAAAAGTTTTCAAATATTTATCTTGGTAACAATCTTAAGGGGAAAAAAAAGAAATTCAATTCCTGAGAGATTTCAAGGGTTGACTACACCAAATATTCACTTTTGTCAAAATGGTAAATTCTCTCTGACCAAAAAAAGTCCCAGGGCTTCCCCGGTGGCTCAGACAGTAAAGAATCTGCCTGCATTGCAGGAGACCCAGGTTGGGAAGATCCCCTTGGAGAAGGGAATGGCTACCCACTATAGTATTCTTGCCTGGAGAGTCCCATGGACAGAGGAGCCTGGTCCATGGGTTCAGAAAAAGTTGGACACGACTGAATGACTAACACACACAAGCGGTCCCAAATGGCCCCTTCTTTGCCTTCTGATCTCCTGTTCCTCCACACCAGACTTGGCACATGGCCACTGCTCCCTCACCCTCCTGTCCCCTTGAGCTTAAATCCACACCTCCTTTGTCAGCCTGACTCTGGGCTGAACACCAAAGTGTGTGTTGGTGGGGTGGAGCATTTGTCAAGATGCTTGTGCAGAGGTCACAATGCATTCTCTGTGATGAGGTCCCCAGATAAAACTGGGCCGGTGTGAAAGACCTCACTGGACACCAATCTCCCTGGGAGACCACCAGACTCACCAACTGACACGTCTCCTGTCCTTTCAGCCTCTAGCCCAGGCCTTGGCAGAGTTCCTTCCAGTGCTTAGAGGGTGGCTGAGGAGGTGAGAGGTAAGGTGTTGGGAGGGTGTATGGTGTGAAGGGCTGGAGAAGGAATGGAAGCTTCTAGGACAAGGGACGCTGGGGACGTCTGATGACCCCAGCCCTTCCTCCTTCCCAGTACGTGGTGTCAGAGCCAATCTACTGCCTGCTGAGGCACCAGCATCTGGGCCAGAGATGAGGGTTCAATACCTGAAGCTGCATCTGCTAGCCACCTGTGTGCTTACCTTGTGGCTGATGGTCTTCCTTCTGGACCAGAAGTCTAACCAGAATGACCTTCGTAAGATGCCCAGAAATCGCTCAAAGACCTGCGACTGCCCCCAGAACTCTTTAAGAAAGTGTATCTGTAAATCTGAGGTCCATGAGTGCTCCACCTGCCTTGGCATTCCTGGAGAGTCTGTCTGGTTTGACGAACGCTTTGAGATGGACATTGAGCCCCTGATGAGGTCAGAAGTGCCCATGTCCTCTGATGCTTTGCTATTGTGGTTGGTCAGTGCACATTCTTGGTCTCTGTCCAGTCCCCAACCCCAACCCCAGGCCCTGGCCATCTCTCCCTCCATGGCCCCAGGCTCTAACCTTCTTCTATAGGTGGTGGGAGCCTGGGAAAAGCCCCTATATATCTCCCTCCTGCATTCCTATGAATTTTAGGGCATGGAGTCAGAGGAGTTTGGGAATCAGAATCAGCAGCCCCCTGAAGGGCCTTCCACATACCCACTGGACCGTGTGGGGTGCCGGACTTGTGCAGTGGTTGGAAACTCAAAGTTCCTACGGGGCTCTGGCCTTGGCCTAAAGATTGACCAACATGATGTGGTCCTCAGGTGAGTGCAGAGTGAAAGGTGGAGACCGGGAAGGTCACGACAAATCCTCCTCCCCAAAACGTCTATCCTGCTTTTCTTTCCAGGATGAACCAGGCACCTGTCCAAGGCTTTGAGGCGGACGTGGGAAAAAAAACCACTGTGCGTGTTACGTACCCCAAGATAGACAGCCCTCAGGATCCTGGTGCCCAGCTGCTGCTGCTTCCTCTGAATTCATCTGGTCTGCAGTGGGTCATGGACATAGTGCAGAAAGAGAGCATCATTCAGAAGGCAGAAAATCCTGGGTATGGTGGTGGAGGGTAGGACATTGTAAGGAGGATAGTGGGAACTCTGGAGAGACCCTTGCTAGCTATCAGGGCATCCCCCAGGCTTACCTAAGTTTGGGGACAGCTATGTCAAATGATGCTGAAATTCCCCCACCTCAATCTTGTTTTAGATTTCGGATAGTCCAGGTCCCCCGTGGAAGTAATGAGAAGAAAGACAAGGTGAGGGACCCAGGAGGGAAAAGGGGAAGGAGTAAAACGCAGTGGGTCGGGTTGGGCGGCCACTGGATGGACCATTCAGAAATGGACCTCCTCCATCTCCCCAGGTCTCAGTGATCAGCCTGAACTTCTTCCAGTATGTCCAGCAGAGATGGCTGAGAAAACACGGTCACTTTCCATCTCTGGGGTTCATAACTCTGTTGTATGCCTTGCACACCTGTGACCAGGTAAGACATGGTCTGCGATTCATAGAACTTTATCCCTTTGCCACTGAAAGCGTCTGTTTTCCCAGGGACTTCAGGTTAAGTCCAAAGTTGTCTGGCTGGTTTTCAAGATCCTGCATGGTCTGACCCTTTCACTCCCATCATCTCTACCAGCACTCTCTATGGGCTTCTCGGTTCCCCAAACAGCCATCTGCCTTGGGCCTTTCACATGCTGTTCCCCTGCCTGCAGTGCCCTCCCCTTCTCTCCCCAAGGAATCCTCTCTCTTCCTTCAATATGATGAGAATCAGCTCTCTTTCCTGGGCTCCGAGAGTTGCTCTGTGCATTCAGAGTCTTCCCTGGGGAAGGTGAGCTCTGTTCTTCTCCCAGCTCCAAGAAACAGCCTGTCACCCTCATGTTAAGTGAATGTTTGCTGAAGGAATGGTCAGTGGGCGTGGAGGCAGGGTGGGCTCCAGCCTGCTAACCCAGAGCCCTCTTCTCTCTTACCCCATCTCCCAGGTATCCTTGTTTGGTTTTGGGACAGACCAGCTCATGAGGTGGTCCCATTACTGGGATGATAAATATTGGTTCAAGAGCAACATGCACAGTTTTAAAGAAGAGCAACAGGTCATCCTTAAGCTGCAGTGTGAGGGGAAGGTTGCTGTTTACAACTGAGATGGCCTCCAGCCAGTTCAGCCCACTGGAAGCCCCCGGAGGCTGACAGGTGGTCAAAAGGACCTTGGCGTGTCAGAGAGGGATAAGGGCTTCAAAACTACCCTGGATGAAGATCACTCTGCTATAAACCTCCACATGGTGACATTAAAGGACTACTTTCTCTTCTAGATTCTCAACAGTGAACATTTCATTATGTCACATGTATATTTTTACCTTATCAAAAAATAATTAAATGAAAAAGAGGAAAAAGCAAAGGTCGGGAAGATCCCCTGGAGAAGGAAATGGCAACCCACTCCAGTATTCTTGCCTGGAAAATCCCATGGACTGAGGATCGTGGTAGGCTACAGTCCATGGGGTCGCAAAGAGTTGGACACGACTGAGCAACTTCACTTCAAAGTTGAAAACACATTAAGTGAACCCAACTATACATCAAATTGCTAACATAATCACCAGGGAAAGAGGTAGCTAAAGTTCCTTTAGAATTCAATACACTGTATATCCTTTGTAGCATAGATTCTGTGGACAAAAAGAACCACAAAGAAATTTTAAATTTTACTCAGTAGACTTTTATTATAATACTGTAATTTATTATAATATTATAAACTATATAATAAATATCATAGAATAAAGTATATAAGTGATTTTGTTAATATTCAGTTCAGTTCAGTTTAGTCGCTCAGTCGTGTCTGACTCTTTGCGACCCCACAAATTGCAGCACACCAGGCCTTCCTGTCCATCACCAACTCCCAGAGTTCACCCAAACTCATGTCCATCGAGTTGGTGATGCCATCCAGCCATCTCATCCTCTGTCATTCCTTTCTCCTCCTGCCCCCAATCCCTTCCAGCATCAGGGTCTTTTCCAATGAGTCAACTCTTCACAAGAGGTGGCCAAAGTATTGGAGTTTCAGCTTCAGCATCAGTCCTTCCAGTGAACACCCAGGACTGATCTCCTTTAGGATGGACTAGTTGGATCTCCTTGCAGTTCAAGGGACTCTCAAGAGTCTTCTCCAACACCACAGTTCAAAAGCATCAATTCTTAGGCGCTCAGCTTTCTTTATAGTCCAACTCTCACATCCATACATGACCACTGGAAAAACCATAGCCTTGACTAGACAGACCTTTGTTGGCAAAGTAATGTCTCTGCTTTTTAATATGCTATCTAGGTTGGTCATAGCTTTCCTTCCAAGGAGTAAGCATCTTTTAATTTCATGGCTGCAATCACCATCTGCAGTGATTTTGGAGCCCCCAAAAATAAAGTCTGACACTGTTCCCACTGTTTCCCCATCTATTATTAGGAACCAAATACAAAATCAGAGAGGGAGAGTAAAACTCCTGGGACATTATAAATTCAAACAGGAAACATCACTATGAGCTCAATTTTCTGTTATGTTTTATGATAAAATATACATAAAAACTGTCATTTGAAGGTATACAGTTCAGTGGCATTAAGTATATTCACATTGTGTGCAACCACTCCCATCTCAAACTCGCAATTTTCAAAATACGTTGTCTGTAAGTCCAAAAGCCACCCTAACATCCCAGAGACAATGATCAACCCTGGAATGTGTATTTCATTTTCTAAATACTTTTTCCCACTAATCTTTCTAAAAGTTTCAGGCCTGGACAAGAAAAGTACAAAGAAAACCTGCACATCAAATATGAGACAATTTGAGCATCAAAAATAGCAACTGTCACAAATGAGTCACAGTGGATATATAAAAATCCTTGAGTCCACATTGACACTCAAAGAGAAATCAAAACAATCAGAGGAAACTATTATATTAAATGGAAGTGGGAGAGAAGCATTTATCTTGCCTTTTTGGTAGAAACAGTATTCAAGGTGAGCCAAGAACCTCAGGTAATGAGGGTTTTCAGTCACTGGGTATCCAAAACACATCCACTCCATTTTTACTTTGGCCGTCCAACAACCGCACATAACCTGACAAAATGAAAACATCCCTGGTACAGCTGAGAGCCTATTTACCTGCTTCCCTAAGGGCACAGAAGTGTGCTCGGTGTCTGGCTCAGACCTAGAGTTCAAGAATCCCCAAAGGTGTGGGCAGTGCACTTGTCACCATCTTGTTGCAGATAACTGGACCCATATGGCATCGTATAATCATCATTTAGAGGAATAAAGTTATCCATTATGAAAGCAGACTTTAAAAAACTGGTTGCCCCCCTGGAAAGTGGTTAGAAAAGAATGGAGTGGGAAACTGCTGCCTTCTTTTCTATTTAATTTTCAACCATGTGTGTGCAGTTGTTTTCTTGGAAATAAATGAAACCAAGGGTATTCCCTGGGACAAGGGATTCCCTGGTGGCTCAGATGGTAAAGAGTCTGCCTGCAATGCATGAGACCTGAGTTTGATCCCTGCGTCAGGAAGATCCCCTGGAGAAGGAAATGGCAACCCACTCCAGTATTCTTGCCTGGAAAAATCCCATGGACGGAGGAGTCAGGCAGTCTATAGTCCATACGGTCACAAGAGTCGAACACGACTTAGCGACTTCACTATAGGGTTAGGACACCGCGATTTTACTGCTGCAGCCCTGGGTTCAATCCCCAATCAAGGAACTAAGATTCCACAAAGCTCATGACATAAAAAAGTGAAAGCAAACTACCTCCACCCCCAAAATTTGTTTGGATATAAGTTTACTTTAACCACATGACATTTTCTTGTAGGTTCTTTGCTCAAGAGGGAACAAAGGCCCTTCTTTCCCCTCTCTGCCTCATACTTAACAAGTTCGCTTTGGGAGTAGCCAGCACCCCCTCAGAGAGGCACCACACCAGCCTTTCTTGCCTTTTTCATTCCTGTGCCCACTACTTGATTTCCATGCCCTCCCTCGTCAGCTGGACCCTGGGCTGAGTGCCAAGGTAAAGGCAATCTTACCCACAAAGCCTACATGCAAAAGTTCACAGTGTGACCTGTGTGGTGGGGTCCCTGATACTACTGGGCTGGCATGAAGGATCCCGCTGGGCATCAACCCCTTCTCCTCTGGGGAGGTCACAGGATACACCAAAAGCACCTCTCCCCTCCCTCCTCTCAGCCTCCAGCAGAGTACCCTGCAGGGCTCAGCAGGTGGCTGGGGCGGTGAGAGGTGACGTGTTATAAGGAGTTGTGGCAAGCAGGGTTGAGGAAATGATGGAGGCCATGGGGCAGTGGATACTGGTGGAGTCTGTGACCACAGCTTCCTCCTTTTCCAGTGCCTGCTGTCTGAGTCAGCCTGCCTCTTGATCTGTGAGCTGCCCCATGGATAGGAATGAAGCGCTCATGATGGGCTCTAGGCTAGTGTGCTGCCTTGATGCTCACGTGTCTGGTGCTTCTGCTCTTTGGGCAGAAAAGTCTCAGCTGACGGGCTGGCTGGTGCAACTCCCAGAGCGGCCACTGCTCCCGGGACCCACAGGTGCAGCCCTTGACGCCACATACCTGGTGTACCCAACTGGCTTGGCAAACACTTTGAAAGGGTCCTGAAGCCCTCTCTTCCTCCAGCATGTGCTGTGATGCTCTTCCTGGCCAGTGAGTCTCCTCCTGGCACCCAGGTCTGCCGTTTCTCTGCCTCCAGGCCCTGGAGGTGAGCTCCTCCTTCCAGTGTGTGTTGTGAAGTTCTGTGACACACAGTGTTGATGAGTATTTGCCAAATGCATGAAAAGTTGGATTAGGAGCAGGGGGGAATCAACCAGCCTGTCTGATCTCATCCATTGGATTTTCCTGTGTGGGCTTGGGCAGACTAGCTGAAGAGGTGGCCCCATATACAGGGAGGAGAGCTAGAGCCGAAGACTCCTGAATGGCTTGAAAAGCACCATACAACAGCAGAAGGCGAGAAACTCCTCCAGCTCGTGTATGAGACGACTCTTAGCCAGCAACCAGCCTCAGACTCTTGGTTGGATTGGAATATGAAGATACAGGAGAGGGAATGACAGGGAACCAAGACAGGGGGTGCAGGAACAATGTATGGGTTATCAAGCCCTGAATAAGAGCTTCCCCTGACTCCTGCACCCCAACTAGTAGCTGTAAATAACTAAGGAAGAACTAAATTTAAATACACATTCTTACCCTCTCCTGCCTCCACACAAATGACCACTAGCTGGGAACAGGGAGTGCCCACACTCAGATGGACACACGACTGCCTTCACTCATATCTCTCCTCTGACATTTGATCCATTCAAGGGGGTCAACTCTTTGCTTTCAAGTTCTTCCACCTGTATCAAGCTTTAGGTGCTATGAAGGCGTATAAAAAGCTGGGGATGTTAATGACAAAGAACTAAGAAGAAAGAGGTCATAGGGCTTCCCTGGGGGTCCAGTGGTTAAGACTTCGCTTTCCAGTGCAGGGGCTGTGGGTTCGAAGCCCCAATGCAGAGGTGTGGGTTTGATCCCTGGTCGAGAAGCTAGGACCCCACGTGCCTTGGGGCAAAAAAAAAAAAAAAGGTCATAATGTCCAGTCCATGCCGGGCTGCCACTGTGTCAGGTGAGACTCTGAGCGGGGCCAGAGAACACAGTCCTTTTTAACCTGGAAAAGCCTCACTGCTCGCCATCACCTCCGTCAGGGTCTAGGCACACCCCTCTGGTCCCAGGAGCATAGGGGAGTAAACTGCAGGGGGCCAAGGTCTTGAGACCCCTTGTTCTTGTCTTTCCTTCTCCTTCGCCTGCTTTCTCAGCATGGTGTGCAGAGCTAAGCCTGCACCCCAGGATCGAGGGGAGGGGGGAGGGATCTCATGGCTCAGAGAACCCCGATGGCCCCTGCTCCTTCCTCCTCCCTGCCTCTGCTCACCATCCCCCAGGCTCTTCAGGACTCAGCATTTCCATGCTGCTCAGGGAGTCCCTTCCTCAGCCCTGGGAGTGGGTAGGTGGTCAGTGGGACAGGAAGTAGGAGGTGAGGTGTTGGGGGGAACAGCTAGAGGCCTCATGTGTCCTAAGATCAAACAACTAAACCAACTAGCTGCCCCAGGGTCTGGTTCCATGAGATGAAAGTGAAAAATCATTAGCTGCTCAGTCACGTCGGACTCTTTGTGACCCCATAGACTAGCCTGCCAGGCTCCTCTGTCCAAGGGGATTCTCCAGGCAAGAATACTAGAGTGGGTTGCCATGTCCTTTTCCAGGGGATCTTCCTGACCCAGGGACTGAACCCGGGTCTCCTGCATTGCAAGCAGATTCTTTACTGCCTGAGCCACCAG